TGGAAGGCAAGATCTTGCCTTTCCGCGTTTTCCTCCTCCCCCACCTACAGTCATTTCTGAGCAACTGGAATCAACTGGGGAGTGTAGAGTCCCAAAAAACCCGTATACCGTCTGAAGTTCCGGGATTTCGGCCGCCCCTCCGGCGGCCGCCTCCCCATGGGGAAAGTCCCAAACCGGGTGAGAACCGCCGGTTCACGGAACCCGCGAACCCTCGGACGTTCCACGGGTCCGTGACCGTCAGGTGAAGCGAACGCCCCCTGGGCGAGCTCCATGTTCTCGGTACGCTCCCAGAGCAAAGCACAGCCGATTCGTTGCAGATGACGCGACGTCGAGCCGAACATGGAGCGAACCGAGACAGAGAGCGAAACGAGACGAAGGCCGCCTCCGTCTGCGGAGCTCAGTTGGGCCCGTCTCCAAGGCTTGCAGCCTCTACTGGTGTGACCAAGACGTCGTTCCGTCAGGGGCCCCATCCGCGGCGCGCGGCGGGCGCCCGCGGATGGCTCAGCTTCAGAGGTCCTACTACTGGTCCTACTGCTGCTACTCCTACTACTGCTGCTACTACTGCTAGTAGTACTAGTGCTAGCAGTACTTTTGCTGGTAGTATGATTCCGAAACAACTAATGCCACCACTCCTGCGGTTGAGAATGCTGTTGAAGAAGACTTCCATGAACTCAGTAGTAGCTGTCTTCAGACGCAGTGTCTGAGGCTGCCGAATGCAGGTGCGGAGCCAAGTGCGCAAGACGTGCCACTCTCTGTAACAGTGGCTTTGGTCGGTGTTCGAGAGGGTCATTTTCTGATTGAAGGGGCAGTGCACTGTGGGGCAAGGATCTTGTGAGTGGCAGAGCGGCATATAGGTCTCATTGCATGAGACATGGGTACAAGCCATCCTCCAATCTACTTCTCTACCAGCTACCTTTGACAGGAATGATCAGAGAATACCACAGTTTTAATTGCCTGTGGCTCTTGATTTCCAGGTGTTTCTTGTCTCTCAAAGCGCGTGCTCGCGCTGTCATGTGCTGTCACTCACCAGCTCCGCTCTGCTCCGCTCTGCTCCGATGCCAGACGAATGTTGGTCGACCGGAGTTCAGCCGGGGGACCCGGAGTTCAGCCGCGTCGAGGGGCTGGAGGGAGAAGACGAGCGAAGAAAGGCCTACTACTACTGGGAGCTTTGTGCTTCCTCAAAGTCCGATCTGGCTTGCGGACGCTGATGGGTGGACTGTATATGATCGTGAACTGTATCTGATCCCAGAATGTGGTGCGGTTTTTGCGCCTTGTGGCTTGGACGAATCAACCACCAAAAGATCTTGGTTTTGGTCCCTTCTGATGGTCAAACCATCAGAACCCACCAAAGCATGGCGCTGGAGAGCCATCCTTTTCAATTACGGTGATTTCGGTGGTCTTCTGCTGTCCCTCATGCACTTTCCGGGCTCTACGATGCGGAGTTTCATTTTTTTGCACTGGAATCTATCCCAAATGACATATAGATACTGTATATATAACCCAGCATAACACTTTCCCCATCAGCCAGGTGATTTATTTTGCAGACCCTGCGCGTGACCTTGTTAGTTTTCACGTGATCCAAATGCAGAATCCGATCGCCCAACACCTACAGCACAGCTTTCAGCACACAGCACAGCTTTCCTTTCTCCAGTGTGGAGACCCACGGGGCAAGTCGGTGCAACACGATGCAGCACAAGCTAAGCAGTAACTACATAGCTGCGATAAGGAATGGCGCCGGTGTATTTGTTTCCAACAGCTCTGGGAAATCATGTACGGACATCACGAGGACATCTCTTTGGTAGGCTCTTTCAGCGATGTTTTTCAAAACAACGTCAGGTCCTCCAGCGGCGCAGGACAGGGATTCACCGAGTTTGTCGGTTGTGTCAACACCCTTGGGAGGTATACCTCGATGACGGGAGGATTCAACCTGATCCCGGATCAAGGTTGCACTCAACATGTGAGACTTTCAACGGACTATTCAATGGGCACATTTTGTGGTTTGCCATGCCCCCTTTTTTTTAATGATTAATCCTCAAATTTCCTCTTGATTTGCGTGTTAGCGCGTTCGCCAACGCGCGAGCGACAAAAAAAAGAAGGCGACCAGGTGGTGCGTCTGATTTGTAGGATTGTCTGGGATCGGTCTTCCATGGATGCGAATTGCTCGTTCAAGATGTTGCACTCCACAGGGACTTCAAGATGTACTTGCATCTTTGGTTGCGCTGCCAATAGAAATCTCAGCAGCCAATGAAGCCGATGGATCCACTTTGGACTTTGGACGAGCCGAATTCTTGGGCATCACGAGCCCATTTGGGTGCTCCCGAAGCAATGAGTGAGTCAGTCGTCGGTTGGTTAGCTGCGAAAAAAATGAGCACCGTCCTACATCACCTTTTTGTCGCCCCTGTTTTGCACATGCTTTTGCTCTCCAAATTGCATAGATGTAGGTGCTTAGGGCAAGCCCGTCAACATGGATGACATCGACCTCTTGGCGGTTCTCTGCGCTGTTTCCATTCATCACCTTTTTAGGGCAGATCTTCAATCTCGCTCCTTCCTGCCATCGCCCAGGGGGGCCCGCCGCCAGGTCTCTCTGATTGTGCCAGCATCAGCTTGAACGCGCGGGTCGCAGCCATCAACAGGCCGCTCTCGAGACGACGAACCGGAAGGCGAACGACGTAGAACCCACCGCCGTCGGCCTGGCGACGTTTTGACTCGTGCGGGCCAGGAGGATGTTTCGTCCCACGGATTGAACAAGCCATCGAAGTCGGTTTGACTTGGATGAAGTTCTTTCATGTTCTTTCCATCGAAGTCGTCATGCACGTAGAAAACAGAATCAAAAGACACATGTTCCAAAAACCACGCTCCCCCGTGGAGTAAGTGACTGTATACCGCGCTCCTACCCCTGGATTACCCATCCCTCCCGTCCAGGCCCACTGGCCCAACGGCGGACACGGTGGGGGGTGCCCAGCGGTTCGGTGGAAAATCGATGCTCCGGTTCGGTGGTCCGGGCAGGTCAAGCAGTGGTTCGTTGAGACATGTTACCATCCATTTTTTTCCATCTCTGACCAGGCCGGTCGGGTCATAGAAAAGGGCCTGCCGGGCTGCGGGCTGTTGGACCATCCTCTCGTCGTGTGTTCGGAGGGTCCATCGCACGACATGTCCAGAGATGCCCAGAAACATGGCGTATCTGGCGGCAGGGAGGTACACGCGGCGCACGAGTGTCGAACCACGAGCTTCAAGAAACCACCTGGTTTTGAGAGAAAGACTTGAAATCGTAGGTCCTTTTTGGAGCTTCGAATCGCTTCGAGGGAGCTCCAAAAGATGGAGGTTGATGGAGGGACGTGTCGGGAGTAACTGGGGGTAGCCTTTTGCAGATGGTGCTGCACTTCCATATACACACGTCCTTTTGCTGCGCTGAGGCCTTGCGGGCAATGGCACAAGCATTGGCAGGCAGGAGGGGCATGTTGTAGGGGTGTAGCCACTTGGTCGATCATCACGCCGTGGCAGTTCCTGAGACAGCTAGACTCAGCTAGACTCAGCTAGACTGCATGCCGTGGCAGTTCCAGAGTTCATAGAGTCTGAAAGAGGTGGGAATTGTCCTCGAATTGTCCTGACCATTAAACATTCTGTTGGGGGTGTCTGCTCTTCCAGCCCTCGCTGAGCTGGAAGAATTCTGGGCGTGAAACTCTCTGAAAAGCATCCTATCATGTAGGCCCCTATTCCCGTACGGCCAGCAGTGGTTTGTTAGGTTGTGGGCCAGCAGCGGGAACAGGGCATGCCTTTTTCTTTCTTCATGGAATCCTTTGTAGATCTCTTCCAAGCAAGTACATATAATATGTTTTTTAAAGGATTTTTTAGGTTGCATATGTCTGGCTCATATGGCACTTGCCCTGAAGGATATCTACCAGAGTTTCTTTCTTACACCCTGGCGAGATTCTACACTAGGTGCTTATCTCTTGACCCTTCATGTTGAGGTTTCGGCCAATCTGCCTTCTGCGATTTCCTCCTGCCTTCTGCGACCAGTGGTCCTGGGTCTGCTTCCCAAAGCTGATTCATGGAATACCTACAGACTCGTGAGTTTTTCTTTGAATTTGCCTCAAAACTTGCAGAGACCCTTGATTGGAAAGCGATATTGGGTGGCTGTCCATGGAGACCCTTCTTCCCTATGGGAGACAAAAACCACGTGATACCGGTGGTGGAGACCCCCGCCGACGTCGGGCCGATTGGGTGTCCACCGGGATCTGCCGATCCAGCAAGGAGCTCGCTATTCAAGCTCTATGGCAGCTAGAGACCGAGGGGTGTCGGTGACCGTGCGGTTACCGGTGCGGTTCTGCGAGCTGTGCGACCTGGTTGATTGCAGCGGATAGACACAACCTGACTACCACCAAGAAGGGTTCTCTTTGACTACGACACGTCCTCATGAGTCCTCATGGATCAAGATGGCACTTAAACGTAAGAGGTCGGTTTTTGCCATGCTCTGTTCTGCTCTCTAGCTGATCTGCCAAGACTTGACACAGTTCTAGGCTCGAGGTCGGCGTTTCCAAAACCAGACACGTTTGAGTGGAAATTCGAAGACCTACGCCATGGCTGCCTCGGATGAGAACGTGGAAGAGCCCATGGCACAGCCAAAGGTGGGCAGGATGAGTGATGTCCTCATGGAGCAAAGATTGCAACAGCGTAATCAAGGTCAGTCGTTCCACGATGTTCTCGATTTTGTCAAAGAACTATACGTTGGTTGAAACACGCTGCGATCGGGCTTTCTAGCTGTTGAAGTGCAACAAAAAACACAGCCGCTGTGCAATTGAACTCAACGCCGTGACATTTGCAGCAGTTAACGTAGCAAGAGGCATCATCATGTGATTCATTTTCAGCTTCAATATCAACGATTCTTCGTGCGCCACATCTCTTAGAGTGCGTCCTACCAGCTGCTACCCTCCCCCTGCTGACCCTTCACTATTTCTGACCCGAAGAGTTGGTGGAAGACGAAGCGCCATCTTTTTCCCGACATGCTGCGCCAGGCCAACTTGCCGACTTGCTACTTCTTGGCCACCAGCGCCAAGTGCACCAAGGGCTATGAGGGCGAGTACCAATGGGCTGCTGGGCGTTTTCGGTCTTTCTCGCTTCGGCATGGTTTGCCATTTTTCTTCATTTTTTCATCTTTCAAGCTCGGCCCCCAAGCTGTTTCATGAGTTGCCGTGTTGCTATCCGATGCCCATCGGGCTTTGGGGCCAAACAAAACACCTCAAACGAGTTGTGAATGTTTCGCGTGCTGCCTCCACCCAGCAGTCACATGATAAGCACAGACTTTTTCATATCTCACTCTTTTCAGGAAAGGCCTTGTGCTTTTCTCATCAACCCACTGCATCTTCCAGACTGATCGCTCTTTCTCCGAACTGGTGACCCACAGAACTGATCAGCCACGTCTTCCTTTTTTCGCTTCGACTCGACACCCGGATCGACTCGACTTCGTCGTCTCCGGATCCCATCCGACTCCGCCGAAGTCGAGGTCATCGAGTTGGAGAAGGGTTGGAGCCCCTGGTTCCCCGGCAATGAGCCCTACTACGGCGAGACCGACGCGCCCGTGAAGTACACCTTGGGCCGCTATGACTTCGAGGCTTTGATGTTGGTTCTTTCGAAGACGGCGGTTTTTTTTGGGTGCTGATATGGGGTGGAGGGGAGTTTGATCTTGAGAAGTTGAGCTCTTTTTGTTGCCAAACGTTTCTGTTTACGTGGTTTGTGTTCGATTCCCTTGGACCATTTCTGGAACCATCGTGTAGTAGCATCATGTAGACTCTTGATTGATCACCTCTCCCAGTTGGCTTGAACAACCTCCTCATATGGTTGATTAATCAAGAGTCTACAGTCTACATTACTCTAGATCACTTTGAAAAAAGGATGTTCTAAGTATTTGTCCGTCATTATACATTTACCATATATTATACAGTATACATATAATTGTATATCATACACATAATCACATTCACACCGGTGCGATCAACATCAACGGCCCTTGCAGGGCCGTGTCTCTCACGGAGCTGTTTTGGGGTCACATGCTGGACCGCCTGGAGGAACATGCTGCAGTCATTTCAGTACGAGCTTTTTCCATGGCCCGTTTCCATCGGTCGAGTGGCGGTTGAACCAGCTTTCAACCATCAACTCGCTCAGAATCGTCACGAAACTCACGAAGTAGAGATTTCACCATGTCATCCACCAGGAGTCGACTTCGCGGAGTCCGGCGGAGTCCTTCTTTTCGAGTCGATTCAACCCAGGACATTCATCGATGACCCAAACGCATCTTCGTCCCTCGGAATGGGGTTTCTGTCTCACGCTTCGGTGCCCCAAAAGCGTCGTTGGACGCGCAATCTTCGGGTACCTGAAAAAAGCGCTGACACCTGAGCTGACTCTGACGCCTGAACTGGCGCGTCGGTCTGTTCTGAACGCATGGCCGTCACGAGAGAACGACGTTCAGGTGCACTTCGAGTCGGATACCCAGGGCACCCAGACGAACTTGACCACGGGCAAGGTCCGGCGCGTCCAGAAGCTCCAGACACTTGGTCGTCGACCACATCTCCGCCGATAAAGGGAGAGATCGTCGTGTGCGAACCGGGGTCGTGTGAAACCTAAGCTATTTCCACCGGACTAGGGGCATGGTAGCTGCTGACCTTCTTGCCAGTTCGTGGAGTTAATTTTTGGAGGTCAATCAGACTTCGGGGCTTTTGACCCATGAGTCCACGCTAGAGGAAAGAGTCTGCGATGTCTGGCTTTCCAAAAGGGTCCTTACTTCCGGCACCTCGAACCATTTCCAACGTGCCATTTCCACGAATGCTCAGGAAGGGTGAGCCCATGCCCGCCTGGGAGGGCACCGGCATCCGCCGCCGCCCTGCCACCGGCGCCGGCGGCGCTCCTCCCTCGGGCGGTCTCAACAGCGCGCCGGCGACGTCGGCGGCCAAGCAGGCACAGGCGAACCGGGAGCAGCGTCGGGGGGGCTATGATGCGAACAAGGCGGTGCAACCACATGCTGCTTGGCGAGATGGGACGGGATTGCATGCTTGGCAGCCACCAGGGATGTGCTGATCTGGAGACTGGAAGGGTCAGTTGGAAGCTGTTCTTTCTAGTTCTTGGAAGATGAAGGTGTGACTCTTTTCATTTTGCCTGCCGAACTGGTTGGGCAAAGCATGACCATCTGCCAGGTTGAAACATGTTCAAATGCTAGTTCTCATGCTAAGCTCCTGAGCTCGACCTCCTCCCCAAAGGGTTTGGCATCCAGTGTCCCTAACGGTCCCGGTTGGTCATCCGGTGTCCCTTCCCTATGCCAAGCACATGGATCTCCTCATATTTCCATATGTCCAGCAGCACCCAGTAGTGCCCGGCACTTGGTCACTCCCTGCACATCACCACACTTGAAACGGTGCCTCACCGTTTCACAGGCCAATCTCGGCTGAAATCCGGCCACTCAAAGGCCCTTGGCAAAGACCGCTGGGTTCCTCGTCTCCGTCCGCGGTCATCGGCCGCACGGTCACGTCGCTGAGCCCAGGCGCTGCGACCACAGGTCTCCCAGTCCGCGTACCAAGCGTCGCCCGTGGCGGCGGCTCCCGTGAAGCCCAAGGCGACAGCGGCGCGTACCGCGCCCAGTGGGCCGGCGCCCGCGCCCGGTGGGCAATTGCCACGGTACATGAGGCCTTTGAAGTCCAAGCCTTAAGGATAGCTTTGGGGGAAGAAGTTGGATAGCTTTGGGGGGATGGACGTTGATTTGATGGGGGTCCGCTGAAGTATACTTAGTACATATACTAACATATACATTGTCCATCTAATTTCAGCACGATCTTTTCCAATGAATGAAGGACCTTGGACGACTTGTGTGCAAACCCCGGAGAGGCACGAGACCTAGGCAGGCCGAATCGAGCATCGAGAGTCAGATTAGGAGTCAAATTGTCACTCCATTGATTGGCAGTTCTCTTCAGGTGGATGAAAAGCTCAGCTAAGATTCTCCCAAAACTTGCATCCACCCACCAGGGCCTAAGCCATTGATACTCGACCACTTGACCAGAACAGACAACTGAAAACTGCAAAGCTTAGACAAGAATCTCCCGCGCTTCTTCTCCTGTTCGAAGTGAAGATGGTGTTCCTACGGCTTGGCCATGTTGCCAGATTGGTGTTCCCATGTGTTCCCCATTTCGATCTCTAAGACCTAGCTCTAGCCTGTAAGACCTAGCGATCTTCCAAAATGTCTCTAATGGCTGAGTGAAGAGATGGATGGAGGCAGCCGATCCGTGCGGGATCCCGACACGGATCGGATCCCTAGGGTTTGACCACACGGAGCGCGAAAAGGGAGGGACCCCAAAACGCTCACTCACTCCAAACACACGAAAGGGACCCGAGCCGCACATGTTAACTTTAAAAAACACATGGTTTTGAGCTCATGATTCAAACAGGCAGGTTTATGTGTACAGTACAGTTGGTGTTCAACACTTGTAGGATGCTCACATATACACACACAATAGACTTGGAGATACACTTATGTAGAACAACATCCAGAACACCCTTTCAGAGCACATGAATGACTGGATGAAGAGTGGACAGGATGTTCTCTAACATATCTTAGGTGCTGGTATTTGCACGACTCAACCCTCAACAGCACGACTCGTATTGTGCTCTGCAACGACTCGTTGTTTTTGATGTCTGGTGCTCGAGTCGGATGTGAGGGTGACGTGACAAGTCTTCGCACTGAAACGGCATCCTCGCACTGCCAGCTTCGGGACGGTTTGTGCTCACACGACGGCTGACCAGTTTTGTGGTGTCAACAAGGTTCGCCTCCACCACATGCCAGGGAGGAGACCAAAAAGCCTTGACCCACTACCTTTGACCTCTCAAATTTGAATACGAGAGGCCTTCGTTCGTGCAACTCCGATCACTCGTTAATGAGTTCTCGGAGCGAGACTGAAGAGGTCTTCTCTCGCGGAAGAAAGATTGAGCCGAAGGGGCAAGCGAGTGGATCAAAAAGGGATGGTTCGTTCTTCTAGCCAAGTTCTATGGAAGAGGGCAAAAACCTATACAACCATTTCCTATGTAAAGGATTTCAATTGCCATATTGGAACAAGCATTTGTTTCTGGTTGTTTGGGGTTCCAGGTAGACCATTGGATGATTGGGAATCTCTTCAAGATCTTGCAACTACATTTGGAAGTTGTGCCATTGAACAGATGGGAAGTGCTGCATAAAACTGGCGATGTCCCATGGGGGTCTTGGGGGTTTCTGATTCGGTTCATTCTCTTAAAATGAAGCAGTGCAAGTTGCTGTCCTTGGGGCGCCAAAGTCTCCGCAAGTCGCATGGTCCAAGTGTTGGCCGCTTGGGTTTCAAGGGCACCAGATTGAATGCCTGGGCCGTTTGCTCCATGGAGTGGGAGGAAAGGGGCGCATATTGGTGGGTTGCTGGCACACACACACACATTGACACCGAGAAGTGTTATTTGGAAGAACGCTATAGAATGGTGTCAAAGTCGCTGACCTCCTAAGTCCACAACTTCCAAATGATCATTCAAGTGGGTGACACCGTCGCTTTGCTAAAGATCATCGTGGTACGCGACACGAACGAGCGACACATGCCAGTCTTTCAGAAAAGTGGAGTCGCAGCAGCTTGAAAGCAATTCACACACATCCCATTAAGCAGGTATATGAGTCGAGTGCGCCCACAGCCACCCTTCCTGAACCCCATCGCCACGTTGGCACTAGGGAGACAGCTGAACCATTTGCCCCGTCGAATTCCATTTGGCCAACGAATCTGCCGCTGAAAGCGGGACAAACACACGCACATCGAGCCGTCGAGAGCAGTCCGTATGCAGTCCGGGACGCTTCGAAGTTCGGAGTTGACCAGTTCAGAGTTGACCAGTTCGGGGTATGGCTGTCCCCGACGACCCGAAAACGACCCGAAAGCCGGCCCAGTTGAGCGTGGCGCTTTCGACGGCAGAGCTCAGCACTTTGGTGGGGCGCCCGGTCAGTTGCTGGGTGGGATGAGGCCGCCACGTTGACAAGGGAGTTTGTTTTGGGTGATTGGTGTTGGTTCATGTGTTGAAATGGGTGGAGAGACTCCTCTTGGCATCATCCAAGCAGGGAGAATGTTCTCCGATATGATTCCAAACAGCTTAGAAGGTACCAAATGATTCTTCAATCAACATTTTCTGACACGCTGACCCTCAGGAGGGTTCTTTGGAGCTCTAGGGACGTCTTGGATTCGTGCAGTTTCATTTTTTGTACGAAGTACCGGCCTTTATTGTAGCCATTTTGGCTTCAGTGGAGTCATCCATCCGGAGGAAACACTCCTGGAGACGATGACACATGCCAACTCGGTGCTTTGTGCCCAAGTGAGTCCTTTTCTTGCTTTGCCTGTCACCAACACAAGGACGATTCCATGTTTTTTCCGAAAAAGGCGGAGCATGAGCATGGCTTTACAAAATGCCACGCCACTAGGTGGGCCCGACCACGATTTGTTCACCAAAAAAGAACTGGATTGGCTGCATCAGGACCAGAATCTCTTTGGATTCCTTGGTGAACTGCCCAGCGATCAGGGACTACAGGCGAGACGGTTGAACCGAACCCCAAAAAATTCAGTTCTCTGTATAGAAGTGGGTTGAGAGGGCTCAAACCCACTAGCGGCTAGCGCCGCATCGCCATGTTTGGATGGTTATCCAGATGACTTAGGCCAAAGTGGCCCGATATGACATACAACTTTTCCAGGGAAAGTCCTAAGTCATATAGAGGTGTGAACATAGGCCAGTTTGGCGACAACCTCTGACAGATCGTTGGTGACAACCTCTGACATCTCTGATGTTGAGTTTTTTCAAACTTCAGCTTGATGACATAGGACTTCGTGACCCTAGGGCAAAACTTCATGACTTAGCCGCAAAATTTTCGAGGTATTTTCCACAACTCCTTTGTCACTTCACCCTAGTATATTGGGTCTGTCCTATTACCTGTGACAGTGAGTAAACAATTATCTATATTTTTAAACAAGGCCTTTACTAACCATCATCATCCACTGTTACTGGTAATTAGATAGACCCAATATATATATATAAATACATATATATATATATATTATTTACTGTATGCATGTATGTATTGGTATGTATTGGCATGTATTGGTATGTATTGTAACGTATTGTAATGTATTGTAATGTATTGTAATTGAATGGCATGTAATGGTATGTATTGGTATTGTATTGGTATTGCATTGGTATGTAATGGTATGTAATGGTATGTATTGGCATGTATGTATTGGTATGTATGTATTGGCATGTATGTAATGTAATGTAATGTAGTGTAATGTAATGTAATGTAATGTAATGTAGTGTAATGTAATGTAATGTAATGTAATGTAATGTAATGTAATGTAGTTATGTATGTATGTATGTATGTATGTATGTATGTATGTATGTATGTAT